GTCCAGATGGTTTCACATCAGAATTCCATCAAACCCTCAAAAAAGAGCTTATTCCCATACTGCAGAAATCATTCCATAAATTGAGGAGGAAGGAACCTTTCCCAACACATTCTATGAAGCAAACATCAGCCTGATACCAATACCAGGAAAAGACCCAACTAAACAGGAGAACTTCAGAGCAATTTCACTAATGAATATAGATGCAAAAATTTTCAACAAAATCCTAGCCAATAGATTAAAGCTTATCATTAAAAAAGTCACATATCATGATCAAGTAGCTTTCATCCCAGGGATGCAAGGCTGGTTTAACACACCCAAGTCCATAAATGTTATTCACTGTATTGACAGAAGCAAAAACAAAGACTGAATGATTCTCTCAATAGGTGCAGAAAAAGCATTCGATAAAATCCAGCACCCTTTTCTAATTAGAACACTGAAGAGTATAGGCATACGTGGCACATTTCTGAAACCAATCAAAGCTATCTATGACAAACCCACAGCTAATACTTTACTGAATGGAATAAAACTGAAAGCTTTTCCACTTAGAACTGGAAACAGACAAGGTTGTCCTTTTAACACAGTGCTGAAGTTCTAGCCAATACAATTGGGCAAGAGAAGGAAATAATGGGCATCCAAATGGAAGCAGAGGAAGTTAAACTCTCCCTCTTTACTCATGATATGAGAGAACACCAAAGACTCAAGTCTTTGACCACAAGACTCCTGGAAGTCATCAAAAAATACAGTAATGTCTCAGGATATAAAATCAATGTCAGTAGCCTTGTATATGACGATGACAGCCAAGATGATAGGGTAATGAAGGACACAACTCCCTTCACTATAGCTTCAAAGAAAATGAAATACCTAGAAATATACCTAACAAAAGAGGTGAAGGACCTCTATAAAGAATATTATGAAACCCTAAGAAAGGAAAACAGCAGAGATATTAACAAGAACATGCCACACTGATAGCTGGGAAGAATCAACATTGTTAAAATGTCTATACTTTTCAAAGCAATCTACTGATTCAATGTCATCCCTATTAAAATACCAAAACTGTACTTTCAAAACTTGGAAAAAATGATTCTGCGTTTTGTATGGAACCAGGAAAAAAACCCGTATAGCTAAGGCAGTTCTTAGTAATAAAAATAAAGCTAGGGGCATCAGCATACTAGATTTAAGGCTGTACTATAAGGCCATAGTGGTCAAGACAGCATGGTACTGGCACAAAAATAGAGACATAGACATTTGGAATCAAATAGAAAACCAGGAAATGAAACTAACA